TTATTTTGGGGCTTGGCTGTGTTCTTTTTGACCCCACCCGTGAGCCTGTTGGAGGTTTATTCGGAGGTTTATTCGGAGGTTTATTCGGGCTCGTTTTGCCCTCTTGATTGCCCTGGCTGTGAGCACTTATATGTTATTTTGGATAATATTGCATTTGTACAGTGCGAGAGGCTTGTGATTGAAATTGAAATTAGATGGCTTTATTGTTTGCAAGATTTTAGAAATTTTGAAGAATATCGTTGGTGGATTACTTCCCTTTATTCGATTATGAAATTTGAAAGACTTTAAAATATTGTTTTTAGAAAACTCACAAGATTGCCGTTTGGAAAAAATATGAAAATTTATAAAATTGTAGTTCTGAAAGAGTTTGGAAGTTTGACACTAAGGTTTCGATAACATAAATGTCACATTTGAGTTTAGGCTTGAGTGTGTGATTATGTAAGTGATGATGGAGCCGTGTATATAATTGTCACATTAATTCAGGCCTGTTTCGACCTGTTTGAAGCAAAATTTGGAAGGGATACTCTTCTTGGGTTGATCCATTTATAAAATTTGAGAAGATATCCTTCTTGAATTGATTCAAGGATCTTGGGTATTCCTTTTTAGATTTTTTTGTTACAAGTTTTGAGGGTTGATTCACCATTCGTCTTTTCAATCTTTTGGGTGGATCAATTCCTCCTCTCTCTTATCCCTATTTTTATTCTTTTTTTCCTTGCTTCTTGGTTCGGTTTTCGGTGCTTATGTCTGATACATAAGTGCCCATATATAGCCTTTTGCTATATATGAAACCATCAAACAAGGTCGCAAGTAGGTCGGTTTTGTTTTGGGGCTTAGAGCGATGATGACAAAGGCATGTCGGTGGTAGAGCGGAATGATATTCCATTTTACGATATCAAGACCCAATCCCGGGAATTGATGAATTGTAGGATGATAGTATCATTCACTGACACAAGACTAGCGGAGGACCCGTACCTTCTTAGGTTGTTGGCGGTCCTATGCCCGACAGCGTAATCGACTCGTGAACAATCGTAATTTTTCAAAAAAAAACTAATAAGAACAAAACATGATAACAACATATACAATATTTATAAAAAAATATTTTTTTTAACTACAAAATTGATATAACTTTATTTTGTATGCCTGAAATTCATATGCATGCTAAAATCTAAATTTTAAATATGTCGTAACTTAATTGCCCACTTGTCGATTACCAGTACCGGTTTAAGGAGTACCCTCCTAAGTTAGGTTTAGTAGGACACCCTTTTAGTTGAGTGACGAGCTCTATACATCCGGGTGACCGATAGTAGCCTTCGACATCTCTCGAGTAGAAATATATAATATTTGAGTCTAGCCCCGACCCGAGTGCTTGCGGTTTTCTTTCATCGGATTTTTCGTGAGATTTTATCAAAACTTTTGGTAAAGCATTCACGGTCTTTAACACGGGATCTTCCCGTGTTTTTGGTGACTTTCTTTGAGTTACTATTTGTCTTTTTTTTTACTTCAAGATTTCCATCGTGAGTCATCTGTCGATTTTCTCAAATTTTCTTTCGTCGTGAATCATTTGCCGCTCTTTCTTGAGTTTTCTAAGTGGTATTTCTTTTGTTGATACAATTCATGCTAGTTCATTTCTTAAAATCTTGTTACTATACGTTTGCTTGCTACTGCTACTTTTACACACTATACCTTAGAATAGGAGGCCAGTAGTTGGTTTCATAGGAGGTACTCGCTGCAGAATGTTGACTAAAAAATTACATGTACCTTTAAAATTAACATCGAATCTGAAGGTGCTATAATGGTGAGCTTGGAGCGAACACTATGGGCAACACAACAAGAACACACAGAAGAGCAACTTCGACATGGATCTGCAACCTCAAAACTAGTTTGCAACAAGTAAACATTTTTCTTAGTTTAAATAACAAGTCATATGACTTCGAGGTGGTTTGATTAACACAACGTAAATTCTCACCATATCTTTAGGCTTTTGCACAACTCTGTTGTGCAGTTATAAGTCCTAACACTTTTAAGATTCCGAGGTTACCGTACGTTACTGTGTAAATCCTCCTATCTTTTTAGGTCATTTGCGCGATCAGATATCGTGCAAATAAAAGTCATAAGTTTGAAAATAAGTTGCAGGATTAAACATTGGATAACATCATTTTAAAGACATAAAGCCAAACAATAAGATAGTTGGGAGGTCACCGGGGATCTTCTTGGATATGTGATATCCCCTACTCTTCGCTCCTTTGAATTTCTTAAAACAATTGTTCCTATTTGAGCCACTCCCGTTTGATTTTTCCGTGTCCAATCTTGGAAACCTAAACTGAAATCTGGAAGGTAAAACCACTGATCTTAATCGAGAGTTTTCTTAAGTGACCCTGATAATTTAAGGTATCTAAGTGACCCTGATAATTTAAGGTGTAATTAACTATAGGGGCTTGCCTCCATAGGGAACTTAGAAACTAGGAAAAATAAACCTTATCTAATCCTTATATTAGGTAAGAGAACTTGCCGGCCATACATAAAAAGGTTTTGCAGACCAAATCGATGTCACAAACTTAGGTGGTTGAGCCTACTGTTAAGTGGTATGCTTATCCTTCGGGATAGTGTATTACTTGTGGTTACGCGCTCAACCATCCAAACTATTTAATATGTAAGACTCGTTTGGTCTCATATACTTTTAATTAAAATATTACTTTCAAAAATCATATTTACATTAAAACTATTTTCATATTTTACAAAAATCATCATTTCTTTCCAAAATAACGACCGCAATGGGTAAAAAAATTTTTTTGGGGGCGAAGATAGGTTGGTTATGACAAATGCTAGAAACCCTAGGATATGACTAGGGTTAAGCTATAGCTTTGATACCAAATAATTTCAGAGTTAACCCAAACTATAATAAGGAAAGCGAATATTATTACTCAAAAAATAAATAGGGTTACTGTCAAAGACACTTGGATTAAGTAAATAACAAAGATACAACACGACTCCACTAGAGCTCAGGATGAAGATGAAGAAAGAGTAGTTTAAGAAGTAGGGCTAAAATGGGTTGAAGGCTCGAAGGATGGCGACAACAAGTGGAGGTGGCCGGAAAGGTGGCAACAAGTTGGGAGTTGATGGGAAGGGACAACAACAGGTTTGTGCGGCTAGGCAAGTGGCGTCAACAAGTGATCGAGAGGCTGTTTGGACGACTGACATCAAGGTGGAGTTGCCGGAAAATTTCAAAATCTAGTCTTTCTACATCCACCAAAATTTCACCCCGACACTACAACCAAAACCTAAGCCTCCCCCAACCAACCTCGAAGGCAACAATCCTACCTTCGTTATGAATATGATCGGGAGGAAATGACACAATTTCACTCAGGAGAAATCTTTAGAGTTATCCATGAGCTTACTATGAAGCATATACAACGAGTTATTCTTCAATTGCAATAGGGGCTTTCCGCCTTCGAGAGAAGACCATCCCGTGAGGTCACTCGTAGCTATGATGGTGATTCATCAGATCTAGGAGAGAGAGTGAATCCCTTTCATCAGACAATCCTTAGTGACGAAGAACCATTGCGTTGACGTTTTGAAATTGAATATCAGATGAGAAGCCAAAATTTTGGAGTGAAGATTGAACTTGTCATATTTTAACAATCACATGAATCTAGGCGAGTTTATCAAATGAGTTTATACAGGTCTTTGAGTATATGGACGTTCATCTGTTAGGAGGGTCAAACTAATAACCATCAAGTTTATGAAGAACAATTTCTTGTAGTGCGAGAACCTGAAGCTTCGTTGATAGCGGGAAGGGAAGAGTAAAATTACTACCTATTTCAAGATGAAACGAGAGATATAGTGCAAGTACATGTTAGTACATTACAGACATGTCATGTGCATAAGACTCCATCTAGGAGTCCTAGAACAGTACCAAACATGCAGATGCCAAACAATTAGACAAGAAGCATTTTGATGTTAATATTTAAGGTAAAGAAAAGAGAATGTTAATGATTATGTTTATTATAGAGGAGTTAAATTTTTGAGCCTTATGATACAATTATGAGATAGAATAATGAAACAAAGACTTAGATAAATTAAATTAGTTTTAGAATCAATTTAGTTTTGTTCAGGATGATCTACTATGGAAGAAAATTTTGATCAAAGATAGTTCATGTAAAATATTGAAACAAGAAAAATGATCTTCAATTGATTTTATTGATCATGAAAAAGCTTATGATTCACTACTGCGAGAACTAATTTGATTCACAGTAAAGGGTGAAGCGGGGCGTGAGTGGCGGGGGAATCCCCCCCATTCTAGATGCCTGGACCGAACCCCCACACTTCCCTTGCTGTTGCTATTGCCACCTAACAACTTCCCTATCATCATTCCAGTAGCTTCTGTGACTTTCACTCCCTGTAACCGACCACCACCACCACCCCCCGGATTCACCCTCTATCTAGTGTGCCATTGTCTATCGTATTGTGGTTATTTCCCATTTTAGTTTGTTGGGTTGTAACCAAAATTTGATTTTTTTAATAATAATATTTGTTTGCTTATTTTTATTTGGGTTACTTCCACTATCAAAGGGTTACTTGGATAAATTAAATTACTTTTAGAGAATCAGTTGAATTTCATTTCAGAAGGTCTACTATGGACGGAAATTTAATGATAAGATAGTTCATCTAAAATATTGAAACCAGAAGAATGATCTTCATATGATTTCAATGATCATGAGAAAGCTTCTGATTGACTGCCGCGAGAATTAATTTGATTCAAAATAAAGGTGGAAATCTTGTTTCAAATGTTTGTTGAAGATATAATATATTCAGAGGTTGTTGTGGAGGGACCAAGTAGTTTTCGATTATATAATAACATTAAATAAAGAGTAAACATTGAGACTTTATCTTCTTGAACTGCTTGTGCTTTGTGGAACTGATTATAAAAAAAGATAGTTAAAGCTGTATACTTTTTGTGTATGACAATTAATTCTTTTTCTCTACATTTTTGTTATTTCCAGGTAAATGTGTTCGAGAGGAGAAGCATCCTGAGATGGAGGAACAGGTAGAAAGCTCTCATCCTGATCGCAGGAGCGACGATAAGATTGAAACTCTGGTGAGGTCCGATCTTCAGAAAATATCGGTCGATGACCGATTAAGCGGAACTCATGCCGACGAAATTACAGAAGAGTCTGACTTTGCTGATGGTCAGAGAAGTACAAGGCCTATGTCTCCTGAAACTCTAGCTCTAATGTGTGATGAGCAGGATATGATGTGCCTGTCATCTCATAATAATGATATGGTTCCAGCACTCCCCAATAACCAGAGAATGACAGAGGTGTATGCAGAGCAAGAGAAATGTGTGCTGATGGCGTTTCGAGAATCTCTCCTTAAACTTATCAATTGTGGAACAGCTAAAGGTAAGCCAAATTCCTCAATTTATCTCAGTAGGAATTGTTTGAGATCACTTTATTATTTTTTTTCTATTTCTTAGTTGGAAGATTACATGCATACCACTCAATTCCTAGTATTTACATATCTAACACCTAAAATTAAATTTTTTACATAGATTCCATGTTACCTATGCATGAATGGGTGTATTTTTCTTTTTCAAAGTTAAAATGGAGGGATTTTTTTATATGATTTGAAAATTTTGGGTGCTATAAATGTTAAAAAGTAAAGTTTAAGTCTTAGATATGTAATTACATAGAAATTGAGTGGTATGTATGTAAATGCCTTTTCTTAGTATTGTATTATTTATATTTTGATTTGAAATAAAATATATTTGACTTTTTGTCAACATAACTCGGTAGTTTTTAATAAGAATCGGGATTTCTAAAGCTTTGTTTGAATGTTTTTAAAAACAAGCTATAAATATGTTTTCAAAAGTAACAGTAATAAAACAAAAAATAAAAATGATCCCAAATAAGTCTCTAGTGTGGAATGATACAGCTCATTAATGCCTCTCCCTCCCTTCTCATTTATTCTTCTCCTCTGCCAATATCACACATTGGCTTCACTTAATTCCTATTTATTTACATATTTAATACCTAACTTCAATTTTTACATATATGCCACCCCACCTATTGCATGAAAAGACGTATTTTACTTTTTAAAAGTTATAACTGTGGTATTTTTGATGTGATATGAAAGATTCGGGCGGTATAAATGCAAAAAATAAAGTTTAGGTCTTTAATATGTAAATAAATAGGCATTGGGTGGTATGTATGTAATTGATCCTTTATTTTTTTTGTTAATGCAGTTCTATTTCTGTCAAAAAAAAAATGAATATCAAGCGTGAACAATGTTCCAGTTCTTGTTTATTAAAATTACATTAGCCTTGCTCATTTAGGTGTAGTTAGGCAGATTTAATCAAGAAATTGGTAATAAGATAGGATATATGACAAAGAGATCGTTTTTATTAGACCCTAATAATGAGTTTTAGGAGCCATAATTAGACTAGCTATCATCTTGTGGGGTTTGTGGGTCATGGAAGCATCTTTACAAACTATTTTTAAGGTTTTGAAAGCCAACCTCCCTCGTCATATATTTTTATCTTGTAATGTGTGTCAATGAGTCTATGGTTTTCTTAGATAAAGATCAATTTTGGTTGTATTTTTCACTAAAATACCATTAGTTCAGGTATGAAAACTCGTACACGCCTTTTTGGCACGATGAAGTATGAAAGACACATGGCCGTATTTCACTCTACTCATACACGTTTTTCTTGGCATGACAGATGAACTTAGCATTCCATAAGTATCATCTACACGAGAAGTGATGTTGGAATGCTGTCAAAATTTGCACTTGTTAAGACTCAAACCGAAGAACTGTCTCAATGAATCTATCATTTTCTTTAAACAAGGTCAACTTTATTTTGGTTGTACTTTTTATTAAATCTCCATAAGTTCAGATATAAAGACTCATACACAACTTTTCTTTTGGCATGGTGGGATATGGAAGACCCTTGGCCGTATTTTATGCTACTCATACCGCTTTCCTTAGCATGGCGGATAAACTTAGCATTTCATAAGTATCATCCACACGAGAAGTGATATTGGAATGTTGTCAAGATTTGCACTTGTTAAGATTCAAACCGAAGAAGTGTGTCAATGAATATATCATTTTCTTAAACAAGATCAATTTTATTTTGGTTGTATAAAACTCTAGTTCAGATATAATGACTCGTACACGTCTTTTTTTGGCACGGTGGGATATGGAAGACGCTTGACCGTATTTTACGCTACTCGTACACTCTTTTCTTAGGAAGGCTGATAACGTAAGTATCATCCACACGAGGAGTGATTTTGGACTGCTGTTAAAATTTGTACTTGTTAAGACTCAAACGGAAGAAGTGTGTCAATGAATTTATTATTTTCTTAAACAAAATCAATTTTATTTAGGTTGTACTTTTCATTAGAAATCCTTTAGTTCAGATATGAAGACTCATGCACGCCATTTTTGGCATGGTGGGGTTTGGCAGACACATGGCCGTATTTTACATTATTCATACACACTTTTCTTAGCATGATGGATCAACTTAACATTCCTGACTCAGACCAAAGAAAAATAAGAGCTTCAAATATAAATGCAACAAAAATTCTGAACTTATTTCTGAACTTCAAAATGAAATTATAGTGATCTTGAGAACTTATTCAGAAGTGACTAATTGAATCTTCTTATCTAAGATTGAACACTCCCCAAAGTAAAGGAATAGCATAAGAACCATTAATAAATTTCTCTAATTACCTAAAACACCTATTCCTTATCTACTAATTACATCTGAAACATAATGAAAATATTGCAAAATTGGTTGCAATTGTCACCAAAGCCTTCTAGAAGGGAAGATTCAAAAAACAAAAATCTAATTACTGTTTCTTTCATTCTTTTTGGCGCTTGCAGAAGTAAAGTTCTCTTCTACCTCTTCGAAAGCAGAAGCTTCCAGCCATGGCGATGCACTCCCTAACAGCATCAGTAGAATACCTGCTCCAGTTAACTCCCAGTTATTCCAGACTGTAAATACATTACCTTCTTCTTCAAACAGCCATTTTCCCTTAACGGCTCTTAATCAGACTGTAGAGAATGGACCGTTGAAACCTAAGGTTGAGAACACTGAGATTTTGAAATTTAAATGAATGCAGGTGTAACGGTCGAATGTAGTAGCCGTTTGTGTAGTTTTATGTTGTTCTGACAGACCTTATTCTGACAGCCATTATTTATGCCTTACAATTGTCATAAAAGTGAGTTGATTTAATCAGCTCAAGAAATTTTCACTGATAATTTTATATAATGTTATTCATCATCTATGTTGTAAGTTTTTTTATTTATGAATTACATACAAACCATCCAAAAATTGATATTTACAAATTAACCAACCAACCGGGTGAATTTTTTTTTTTTGAACTGCTGAATTATGTATGCCACGATCAAACTATTGAAGATTTGATATTTCAGCGATGATTTGATAAATGGATGAAGGAGAGTGGTTAATTTGTAAATAGTAAGTTTCGGGCGGTCTCTGCGTTTTGATGATGTCTTCATGAAGGTTTTGAAGTGGACGGTGGATTTCGATCCGCAGGCTGAAATTCCTGTCATCCCGGTTTGGATTCGCCTTTTGGGCTTGAAATTTCATCTTTTTAATCATGAAATACTGTTTTAGTTGGCCACTATGTTTGACAAGCCTATTATGTTGGATGCTCCGAACTATAATCTGTTTTGACCCTCGATGGCGAGGATTTTAGTTGAGCGAGATGTCACGTTGCCACCTCCTGATGAGGTTTGGATTGGATCCGAACATAATGGCTATAGGCAGTAGGTAATTCTCTAGAAACACCCTATATACTGTTCACATTGTCGTATGTTTGACCATGGTTTTGTGCAGTGTTTCCATCTACACCCAGAATTGCGCAGGAGCGGTGCAGGGCAAAATAAAAATTTTAAAACAACTAGTGAGAAGATTCATACTTCGGCTATTTTTGTGCCAGAGTTGGACGTCATATCCACTGTGCCTGTTAGGGGCAATTTTCACCCTATTGTTGTTGATCCTGTAGGGCATTCCAATTCAGCGGGGTTACAAAAGAGCAATGGGTTGTTTATTTTGGATGCAGATAGGCCGAATGCCCGTGCTAATTCAGTTTCATGCCTTGTCTCTCCTCAATCAATGAAGGACTTGCATTTCGGCCAGTTAGCCCAGGTTTGGAACCGCAGGGTAATGAATTACATTTGGAGGAAGTTTCAAAGTTGATGGAGAAGGAATGGCAAGTCCAAAAAACGAGGAGGCGTAAGAAGAGAGGTAATAAGGAACTGGCTAATCTCGAGAGGGGAAGATCGGTGGAGGATTTTAACCATTATTATTCTGAGGGTGAAAAGGGTGAACATGGGTGTACCCAGACTAGAGCTTCTAGAACGGGTACTTCTTCTATCCATGTTTAACATATTAATTTGGAACATCCGGGGAGTTGCGGATCCTTACTCCCTCAGAAGACTCAAATTAATGACAAGGATTCATAAAGTTGAGATTTTTGCTATATTGGAACCTTTAGTCACTTCACCAGATGCCCACATCTTGGGAAAATTCAAAAATTTCTCGTTATTCAGTAACTGTTCTAATAAAATATGGGTTTTTTGGCGGAAGCATATTTCTGTTAATATGATGGTGGATGATGGCCAATTTGTGCATGCTTACAATTGGAGGAATTCTCGGGTTGGCTAACATTTGTTTATGCGGGCACTTCCAATCATGCTTGATTCGACCTATGTAACAAAATACGGCATATAGGGACTTACATCAATGACCTATGGATGATGGGAGGAGATTTCAATATGATCTTGCACCAATCAAAGAGATTGGGAGGCCGTAGAGTCATTTCCTCCTTGATTAAGCAGTGCGGGGAGGCTTTGTTTGCAGCTAAGTTGACTGATTTGGGGTTTGTTGTCTCTAAATTTACTTGGAGGAGGGGAAAAACTTTTCAAAGGTTGGAGAGATGTTTTAGAAATCAGAGTTGGATTTTTTATTTTGGCTTTTCACAAGTTCAACATCTTTGCAGTTCGGGGTTGAACCATAATCTGTTACTCTTATCCTTTGTTTTTTTTGAAAAGGTATCTGAGCGTCATTTTAGATATTTGAATGTTTGGGCTAATCATGAGAGTTTCATGAATTTGTTTGCTTTAAATTGGCGATGTGCTGAGGTTGGGAACACTTGGTATAGGCTATGGAAGCTTCATAAGAGTGTGGCTAATGCATTCAAAACCTGGAATTGGGAGGTGTTTGGAGATGTCTACGAGGTAATTAAGGCCGAGTGCATGGTTAATTTGTTACAAGAGGTGGATGAGATCACTGATGCTATGATTCCTCAAATTCAAGAGGCCCACAAAGATCTGTTGGAAGCCTCCTGTATGGAAGAGGAGCTTCTGCAACAAAAAGCAGGAGAAATGCACTTTACTCAGGGAGACAGGAATACAGAGTTTTTCCATGCATGTATCAAACAACCGAGAGCACAGAACACTATTGTTCGCATTAAAAATGATCTTGGAGAATGTATCACTGGAGAACATGAGATAGGGGAGAGCGCTGTAAATTATTTTACAAATCTTTTTAAGGTTCATGACTCTATTGGCAACTTAGAGACACATTTATTTATGATATACGTCAATATATGGGAGAATTAGATCTCTGCGGCATTCCCAATGAGGAGGAGATACTTAAGGCGTTTTCTAATATCAATGCTAATAAAGCCCTGGGTCTAGATGGATTCACTTTGGATTTCTATATTAAATGTTTGAGCATTGTTAAGAGTGATGTGGTAGCGGCGATTCAAAGTTTTTTTGAGGGGGAAACCTCGGGCAAATATTTATCTTCTACTATTATTCTTATTCCCAAATCTACTAAAAAAACTACTTGGGTATATCTCTTACTTTTGTTATTTCTAAGGTGATTAGTAAAATCCTGGTAAAACATATACAACCTCATCTGCAACATTTGATTACTCCAAATCAATCAAATTTTATTCAAGGGCGGGGTATTACTAACAATATTATGTTGGCACAAGAGCTAATTTATGACCTGGATAATAAATATAGAGGTGGAAATCTTATCACTAAATTGAATATTCGCAAAGCTTATGATTCTTTAAGATGATATTTCACTCTCAAGGTGCTTAGGGAGAGAGGGTTCTCTTCCTCCTTTTGCAAACTTATTTACACTTGGTTTCTATCTAATCACTATAACATCCTTATCAATGACAGCGTTCATGGTTTATTTAATGCTGGACGGGGGGTAAAACAAGGGGACCCGTTGTCTCCTGTCATCTTCATATTAAATTTTGATTACTTCTCCTGTTTACTTAACGATCTTTTTACTAGAAATCCGTCTCTTCATTATGCTCATAGATCCAAAGTTTCAGTTTCTCACATTGCTTACGCTGATGATATTATATTATTCTCCAATGCTTCTATGCTCACAGATCCAAAGTTTCGGTTTCTCACCTTGCTTACGCTGATGATATTATATTATTCTCCAATGCCTCTAAATCTATTTTAAAACAATTAATGGGGCGGGTCATTTATCAGGTTCTGGAGGATTTTCAGCTGGTTTCGGGTTTTCTGTTCAATGCTTCCAAATGACATATCTATTTGGGTAATCTGGTTAAGAGGAACAATATGGATTGGGTGGCCAACTTCACTGGCTTTTCAATCTCTACTCTCCCTCTTAAATATCTTGGTGTCAATCTTATTAAGGGAAGGGGGAAACAAATTCAATTTGATGAGGTCGTGGATAAGGTACGTAATCATATCCTAGATTGGAAGAATAATTTCTTGTTGTTTGGGGGTAGAATTACTGTTTTACGAAGCATTTTGCAAAGCTTGCCTCTATACGCGTTACAAGTTTGTCATATTAAGAAAAGCTCGCAATGAGTGCTTGAATGATGTTTCAACAATTTTTTATGGGTGGGAGGTTACTCTGGCCGGAGATAGTTATCCTGGAAGAAGGTTTGCAAACCTTCATTTGTTGGTGGGCTGAGTTTCAAACAACTCCATCACATGGCCTACATTAATTATTTTAAGCTGTGGCTCAATTTTCGTAGAGGCGACTCTTTATGAGCTTCGTTTATGTTAAATAAATATTGTCGAAACTGCAGTCCATCTTTGGTTTCCTGGCAGAAGGGGGACTCGAGTTTGGAAACATCTTTTACAGGTCCGGGAATGGGCCAAGTCCCTCATTGTATGGGATTTGGGCCATGGTGATATTTCCTTTTGGCATGATTCCTGGGCCCCTGTGCCTCTTATTTCGATCAATATGTCTTTTAACGATCTCCTTGTCATTGATACTTGGGAGCAAGAAGATTGGAACATTACCCTTCTTAAGCAATTGGTTGGAGAGGAGGATGCTAAGCTTATTGGGACTATTCCTATAGAGATGCAAAAGAAAGATACTCCAATGATTAAAAATAAATCTTTCACAGGGTCCATTTCAAAAAATATTTATCATCAAATTCATTTCTTTGAGGACCTCAAATGGGGAAAAAATATATGGAGTCCTGCGCTGACCCCCTTTATGTCATTTCTGGCGCGACGTATATTCCATCAAGTCATTCCCTGTGATGATATTCTGAAATTGAAAGGGTTAAGAATTGCTTATAGATGTTCGTTATGCTTGACGGCGGAAGAGTCCATTGAGCACCTCTTTTTCTTATGTCTTATGTTCCTCTTGTGAGCTCTTTAATCCGGACCGCAAGAGAATGCACATATTGTAAATCTATCCGTTCATAATTTGTTGGTTCATTGTGGGAGTGTTAAGGGGGAGAATGTGATTTCCAATATAATTGCTCATATACACAGAATCCATAAAATATCCCCGGTGAAGGACAACTTTTTTGCGGGTATACCTTATTTTGATGCCTTGGGATCTTCCTCTTCTCTTGGGGACAGGTATTCGCAACTCCATCTTTTGGTGAGATGGCGGCCTCCCCCTAGAGGATGGGTGAAATTTAACACGGATGATAGTTGGAAAATGGATAATACTGGTATTGTTAGGGATGAGGGTGGTAAATGACTAATATTCTTCTCATCCCCTTCGGTGACTGCATCTCCTCTGGAATTTGAGGTTCAGACGGCTTTCATGGCTGTCTCGATTGCTATCCGACTGGGATGGCATCAAATCTTGATTGCAGGGTTCTAGTAGACATTTTTAATGAAAACTGAGAAGTGTCGTGGGAAGTCTTATATTATATTTAGCGAATTAACTGCATCTCCTCTGTCATTTCAA